ACTAGAAAGTGGATGGTACTGAAGGTGCCTGGGTGTGGCCCTGACTCCCCTACTTGGCAGCTGGCCCCAGCCTGAGGATGGAGGCTTATGTCCCCCATGGCCTCCACATCCAGGGCCCGAACATTCCATGCCCAAAACACAAATTCCTAGGTTGTCACTCAGGGAGGGGAGGGCAGGTGAGGCAGAAGAGGGCAGCCTGACAGAGTGCGTGAGGGACACACAGGGCCATGGAGCATCACACAGGCACACGTACACACACGCATCACACACCTCCGCTCAAACACACCACACACACACACAGACCAGAGACACAGCACACTGAGCACATGTATACACGTCATGCCTGTGCACACACACCACCCCACACACTAGCACCTACATATATGCACACATGTACACACACAGTTCGCACAACAGCCTTCGGGTCTAGGTATAGGTTTTGCATGAGCATAAGTAAGTGCTCTGGGATTCCCAGTCTTCTCAGTGTTCCCATAAATAAAGCACAAATAGACATTTCTCTGATACCCTTTACTTTCAGCCAGGATCCATCTGCCATCAGCAGAAGGGAGTGCGACACAGTTGTATTCTCTCTCCATACCTATTCAATCTTGTATGCTGAGCAAATTTTTCGAGACGTTGGACTTTATGAAGAGGAATGTGGCATTGGGACTGGATGGAGACTTATCAATAACCTGCATTATACAGATGACACAACTTTGCTTGCTGAAAGTGAGGAGGACTTGAAGCACTTGAGGAAGATCAGGGAATGCAACCTTCAGTATGGATTGCTTCTCGGTGTCCAGAAAACAAGGATTCTCACCACTGGACCAATAAACAACATCATGATGGATGGAGAAGAGACAGAAACTGTCAACAACTTCATCTTGGATCCACAATTAACACCCTTGGTACCAGCAGTCAGGAAATCAGGAGATGCATTGCACTGGAAAAGTCTGCAGTCAGAGACCTCTCCAAATTATTGAGGAGTAATGATGGCAGTTTGAGGACTAAGATGCATCTGATTCAGATCAGGGTCTTTCTGATCACTTGCTATGCATCTGAGAGCTGGACAATGAAAAAAGACGACAACAGGAGAATTGATGCCTTTGAGCTGTGGTGTTGGAGAAGAGCACTGAACATCCTTGGATGGACAAAACCACAGATATGTCTTGGAAATGATGCAGTCAGAGTGCTCTTTGGAGACAAAGTGATGAGGCTTCCCCTCACACACTTCAGGCATGTTGCTAAGAGAGGCTGTTCCTTGGAGAGGGACATGATTCTTGGAAAGGTGGAGGGTCAGTGAAGGAGAGGAAGACCCTCGACCAGGTGGACTGACACAGTGACTGCCGCAGTGGGCTCCCGAGTGTCAGGAAGTGTGAGGATGGCACAGGACAGGACAAGGTTAAGATCCACTGTTCATGGTGGTGTTGCTATGGGTCATATTGGACTTGACAGCACCTAAAAGCCACACTGTTGTTATTGTTAAGTGCCATCACATGCAAGTGTCGAGGACTTTTGTTCACAGCGACTCTATGACTGAAAGTCCTCGACACTTGCATGTGTGACTTTTGTCCTCTCTCCAGGTTCATAGTGTTTCCGGAGGCAAGCTGTTTACGGAAGTGGACGCCGCTCCCGCTTCCAGGCTTGTTTTAACTGGGGAGCTCCACCAAACACTGTCCACCATGATAACAGTTATTGCCCCCCCCACCCCAATCTGGCACACTAATGCTAATGGCATGGAGTCAAAAGCTGCTGTCACGGAGTCAGCCTCCCACATCGGCATGGACCTGGGCTCTGTGGGGTTTTCAGTGGCCAATTTTCATCAGTAGCTTGCCAGGAATCTCTTCTGAGGAGTACCTGGGTGGATGTGAGCCTCTACTGTGGTGGGAGCAGCAGTACTGAGTCTACACTGGACCATGTCAGAGAGAAGGTCTCAGTAAGCGTGCACTGACTGACCGCAGGACAAGGTGCGATGCAGGCAGACTGGCTGCTGCCCTGCCCCCTGCTGAGTGTTCGTGTTCCCTGGCCCGGCCACGCAGGCCCAACTCACACCTGGATGGGCCCTCCAACACCTCAGCCTGGTGCCTTACATACGGGCCCAGCACTTGTGTGGGTGTGAACACATGTGCACACACACGTGTACCAGCCTCTGCCCCAGGACCCTGCTCACCCTGTTTAATACCCAAGGTCTGTGACTGCAGCCAGGACATGGGTGGCAGGAGGCACCACCCCTCACTGCCAGCACCTGCCAGCACAGTGCTTTAGACCTGTAATCCCTTCTGAACTTGACTTTGGGTTATTTTGAGCAAGAGATTATAGGAGATTAAGATCAGCATGCTGAGGCGGTGCAGGTCCTGGAGGGGAGGGCTGCCTCTGCTCGGCCCCTGCCCACCTCAGCTTCAGACCCTCAGGACGTGTCTGCACATCCACACACCTGTCTGCCCCAGGTCCTCTGAGTCCCGGGGGGACACAGGTCACAGCAGCAGCCCAGCGGGGCAGGACCACCGCCACATGAGGGTGGAAGTTCCCGAAAGTAGCTCGTTCAGAGAAGGGAGGGAGGGGGATGGTCAGAGGCGGCTGGCATCACAGGAGCCCCGCTTTCTGCTCCTGTGACGGGGACAGTGGTGATGGTGGCCAGGACAGCAATGGTGGTGCTGCAGGTGGTGAGGATGATGGGAGGAGGAACCGCTACTGACGGGTGCAGCTAGGACGACAGTGACTGCGGTGGTGCTGAGCGTGACGGCGACGGGGGTGAGGAGCTCAAAGCAAGTGCCTTCTTGGCCCGCTGACCTCCAGATCACACACCCCGGACCCAAACGGGCAGAGGTCCTCAGAGAGCCCCTCGCGGGCAGATGGAGCACCAAGTACTGGCCGCAGGACCATCTCAGATGGATTCCGGGAGGTCCAGCAAGTGGTCACGCAGCCTGTCTGGGCCTCTGCCACCCTCCTCCTCCAGCCCCACCCTCCCAATCTGATTACTCCCCTCTGTAAATCAGAGACAGACTCACCCCGAAGAGCTAATCCACTTTCTGTGACGTGTCCAAAGGGGAAAAACCCATCCCACGTGATTCCTTTCCTCCTAATTTAAGTCACCCCAGTGCTGGCTAGTTGCAAACGTCAATATCGGTGAAATACACTCGCTGGCCGCCTGCCCGGCCAAAGCATGGTCACAGGGCGGCCGTAAATCCAGATAGTAACAGGCATGCACGCCACGGGGAGGCGTTCAGGGGCCAGGATCCAGCCCTGGATACCAGGGTCGTCCAGCACAGTGCCAGGCACGTCCTCCCAAAGCTTGCCCTCCCCTGTCCCGTGGCCCTGGTGCCTGGAGATGGGAGCTCTGTCCCTGGACAATCTGGCAGTTTGGTGGGGGAAAAGCTAGTGGTGTGGGGGCAGGAAGCAAGCGGAGTGGTGGGCCAGGGTCCCCCTGGGCTGAGCTGTCTCATCCCAGGTGGAGAGGATGATGGGGGAGGACGTGGGGCCCTGCTTCCTTCCAGCGCTGCTCCAGGCTTCGCGGACGAGAGGAGGGCAGTGCCGGCCTCCAGGCTCCCTGCCAGGCGTCGAAGCTGCTAGACTATCGCCAGGCTTATCTGGGGAAACTGAGGCTATGTGGACCGGCTAGGGAGGAAACACAGTATCCACTGATTTACAGTAAACAGAGACGCTGTCATCGGCTTATTTGGGGAAACTGAGGACACAGGGACAGGGTCACACAGTGTCCAGGGGTTACAGTAAACACAAACGCACGAACTTGATTGTACCTGCTCGTCAGTCTGCACTGAGCCACCAGCCCCCACCAGCAGCATGCCAGTGAGAGGACATCAGGTGAATGGTCACTTCAGATCAGCAAGGACACGGAGCCTGTGTGCCTGGTTTATGGGTAACGCATGCCTCCAGGACCAGAGGGGGCATGTGGCAGCAGACCACATGGTGGCCATCTCAGCTCGGAGGATTCATGCAGGGCGATGTGGGTGCTCAGAGTGCCCCCTGCAGGCACTGCCTGTATGACAGCCAGCCGTGCAGGGAGCAGATGTCCCCTTGTGCCAGAGCCCCCCAAGGGCAGGACTGTTTCTGTCTGGCACATGGGTGTCACTGGCTTGCCCCGGCTGGGGTGTCCCCCTGAGTCCAGCTCCCAAACCCTAGTTTCTGTATCTGGGCAGCATTGCCTTAAACATGAAATGAGACCCACTTTGCAGATGAGGAGGGAGCTGTGGTGATACTGTGGTTAAAACAGTCAGCTGATAACCAAGAGGACAGCAGTTCAAACCTCCACCGGCTCCCAGGAGGGAGGTGGGGCCATGCGTGTCATGACTGCCACAGCCTGGGGAGGCCTGCAGGGTCGCCAGGAGGTGGACCCTGCTCCAAAGCACTGAGCGGTCTGGGTTCGGTTGGGCTGTGGTTTCAGCGTTTGGCTGTTGACCACAAGCTTGATGGTTCAAACCCACCAGTTGCTCCGCGGCAGAAACAGCCCATCTGCTCCTGCAAAGGCCTGAGCCCCGTTGCCCTCCAGCGTCACTCAGTGGGAGCCACTGGACGGCTGTGTGAAGGCTGGAGATGGGGTAACTGAGGCCCAGGAATGCAGAAGCCTTGAGATGGGGTGCTGACCTTTGGGGCTCACTGGCCTTCATCCCTTCCCTTCCCCCCTTGGCCTGGGAGCAGAGCAGGTGGGCGTCCCCTGCACCAGGCAGCACACAGCCAGCGGTCTCCTCCCGACATCTGTGACATAACAGTCACAGGAAGCTCTACTGGGACAGGCCACATCCCACGCTGACCATCTCTCTCTCTTGTCTTGCAGGAGGGACCGACCAGGAGCCAAGCAGTGCTCGGAACACTAGAGCTAATGGAGAAGACCGTCAGCCGAGAAGGGGACACTCTGGCTCCCCGTGTGACCATGTGCTCAGGGACAGGGCACCCCTGAGTGTGTCTCTCAGTCCCCCCAGGGCTGCGCCAGCCCCACCCCAACTCTCCGGGCGGGTGAGCGGGCTCCCCCTCGAGGCGTCCCCATGGCTGGGGGTGCACTGTGGGTGTGCATGGTGGCAGGTCTGCTCCTGCACGCGGGTGGGCTGGCACGTGGCGACTGCTGGCTCATCGAGGGCGACAAGGGCTTTGTGTGGCTGGCCATCTGCAGCCAGAACCAGCCCCCATACGAGGCCATCCCGCAGCAGATCAACAACACCATCGTTGACCTGCGGCTCAATGAGAACCGGATCCGCAGCGTGCAGTATGCCGCCCTCAGCCGCTTTGGCAACCTCACGTACCTCAACCTCACCAAGAACGAGATCGGCTACATCGAGGACGGCGCCTTCTCTGGCCAGTTCAACCTGCAAGTGCTGCAGCTGGGCTACAACCGGCTCCGCAACCTGACGGAGGGCGTCCTGCGCGGCCTGGGCAAGCTGGAGTACCTGTACCTGCAAGCCAACCTCATCGAGGTGGTCACGCCCAGCGCCTTCTGGGAGTGCCCCAACATCGTCAACATTGACCTGTCCATGAACCGCATCCAGCGGCTGCACAGCGCCACCTTCGCTGGCCTGGCCAAGCTGTCGGTGTGTGAGCTGTACAGCAACCCGTTCTACTGCTCCTGCGAGCTCCTGGGCTTCCTGCGCTGGCTGGCTGCCTTCACCAACGCCACCCACACCTACGACCGCGTGCAGTGCGAGTCCCCGCCGCTCTACTCCGGCTACTACCTCCTGGGCCAGGGCCGCCACGGCCACCGCAGCATCCTGGCCAAGCTGCAGTCCGTGTGCACTGACGGCTCGTACACGGCCGAGGCCAGCGCTCCCCTGCCCGGGCCGCGCCGCTCACCGCCGCCGCCGCCCCCGCCGCCAGAGCCCAGTGACGCCGCCTGCTCGGAGGAGGAGTGCTTCTCTGGGGACGGCACCACGCCGCTGGTGGCCCTGCCCACGCTGGCCACGCAGGCTGAGGCGCGGCCCCTCATCAAGGTCAAGCAGCTGACCCAGAACTCAGCCACCATCACGGTGCAGCTGCCCAGTCCGTTCACGCGCATGTACACGCTGGAGCAGTTCAACAACAGCCAGCCGGCCACCGTGTCCCGGCTGACCAAGGCCCAGGAGGAGATCCACCTGCCCAACCTCTACACGCGCACCAACTACACCTACTGCGTGGTGTCCACCAGCTCGGGCCTGCGCCACAACCACACCTGCCTCACCATCGGCCTGCCCAAGCCGCCCAGCCCGCCCAGCCCGCTGCCCAGCCCGTCCACCGCCACCCACTACATCATGACCACGCTGGGCTGCCTCTTTGGCATGGTGCTGGTGCTGGGAGCCGTGTACTACGGCCTGCGCAAGCGCCGGCGCCGCGAGGAGAAGCACAAGAAGGCGGCGGCGGCAGCCGGCAGCCTCAAGAAGACCATCATCGAGCTCAAGTATGGCCCCGAGATGGAGGCGCCCGGCCTGCCCCCGCTGCCCCAGGGCTCGCTGCTGGGCCCCGAGGGCGTCACCCGCATCCCCTACCTGCCCGCAGCCGCCGCGGCCAGCGAGGTGGAGCAGTACAAGCTGGTGGAGGGCGGAGAGACGCCCAAAGCCACGAAGGGGAACTACATCGAGGTGCGCACGGCCGAGCAGGCCGAGCGGCGCGACTGTGAGCTGGGCGCGCCCGGGCCGGACAGCCAGGGCTCCGCCAACGAGATCTCCACCATCGCCAAGGAGGTAGACAAGGTCAACCAGATCATCAACAACTGCATCGACGCACTCAAGTCCGAGTCCACCTCCTTCCAAGCGCTCAAGGCCGGCGCCGTGGCCACGGCAGAGCCGCAGCTGGTGCTGCTGTCCGAGCCGCTGTCCGGCAAGCACAGCTTCCTGTCCCCCGTGTACAAGGACTCGCTGGCACGCGGGCTGCAGCGGCACCACAGCGTGGAGGCCGCCTCCTCGGCCGGCGCCGCCGTGCGCAGCCCGCGCGCCTTCCGCGCCGAGGCCCCGGCCGAGGCCAAGTACATCGAGAAGACTTCGCCAACAGCCGACGCCATCCTCACTGTGACCCCCGCCGCCGCCATCCTGCGCGCCGAGGCCGAGAAGCTGCGGCAGTACGCCGAGCACCGGCACTCGTACCCCGGCTCCCACCCCGCCGAGCAGCCCGCGCCGCCGCCGCCACCGCCCCACGAGGGCCTGGGCGCGCGCAAGGTCTCCATCCTGGAGCCGCTGGCCCGTGCGCGCGCGCGCGAGCTCGCCTACTCCCAGCTGTCTCCGCAGTACCACAACCTGAGCTACTCGTCCAGCCCCGAGTACACCTGCAGGGCCTCCCAGAGCATCTGGGAGCGCTTCAGACTGAGCCGGCGGCGCCCCAAGGATGACGAGGAGTTCATGGCGGCCGGCCACGCCCTGCGCAAGAAGGTCCAGTTCGCCAAGGACGAAGACCTGCACGACATCCTGGACTACTGGAAAGGCGTGTCGGCCCAGCACAAGTCCTGAGCCCGCGGCCAGGTCTCGCCCGCCCCACCCCTGCAAAACTGTGATGCCCACTGGACCAAATAGGACACACGATCCACAGCAGCTATCTGTAACCCAGAGACTCACCGCGAAACCTGACGCACGCGCGCGCACACACGCGCGCACACGCACACCCCCCCCAAGCCCGGTCCCTATAGGGACCGCGGGAGGGGGGTCGCTGGCACTTGCAGCGACGAGCTGGCTCGTGGTCTGCTCTGAGACCCTCTCACTGGGGCGAGCGGGGTGTCCACATCTACACTGTGCTCGCACGCACACGTACACACACGCACACGCAAGCACACACCCGCGCGCACGTACACACGTACATGCGTGCACATGTACACATGCGCGCACGTACACGCACACTCACATACACAGGCACACATGCGCGCACAAGTACACACGCCCATGTATGTATGGGCGCACACAGTACACACATGCACGTACACACACGCACACACACATACACACACGGGCGCCGCACACGTACACACGCACACGTACGCACGCACACAAGCGCGTGCACACGCACACACACGCGCACACAAGGGACTTCAGAAAACTGTGGCTTGGGAGTGGGGGGTGGGGGGTGGGGAATTTTTTTTCATTGATTTTCCTTTTTTTAAAATTCTTTGCCTTTTTCTTTTCTTCTCTATTTTCTTCCTTTTTTAAATAATAATAATAATAATAACAACAATAATAATAATAATACTACAAATAATAAAAGCGAAGTTCTTTTAAACAGACATAGAACAAACACCGTGGTGAGGGGCGCGGCCTGGCATGAGCTCCCCGTCTGTGGTTTTCCGTGGATTCTCCGTCCAGTCCGTGTCTTTGTCTCCACCTCCAACAGCCACAGAAGGGCTGAGCGGATGCAGGACCGTCCTGGAGTGCAGGGTGACAGATGTAGTGGAGGCCGCTCAGCGCCAGCTGGGGTGGGAGGGCGGTGCCGGGCTGGGAGCCTGTCACCAGCCCGCACCACGCTCTTTACTGTAGTCGTCCTATTGTACAGAAAAAAATTATTTCTATATTTGCAATGTTTGCTGTAAAATGAGAAAGAAAAAAAAGGACTATGTCTATTAAAAAAAATCTGCAAAAGAAAACCTCCTGATTCTTGTTTGTGTTGTGTTTTGACTGGGGCATTAAGAAAAGATGGGGTTTCTGTTAGGGCTGTCCTAGGGGGCTGAAGTTTGATGCTGGCCTCGGTGTAGGGAGCCTCAGGCTTCAGCTGGGGTCACCACAGCTGGGGTGCTTTCTTCGAGAAAGAAGGGGTGACCATGATGGAGGGGTGGGTGGCCATCAGGACCTTGGAGATGGAGGCCTGTGAACCCTTGAGATCCCTCCACCACCTTGACCTCTCCTCAGGCCATCTTGTCCATCCCTCTGCCTCAAACTGCCTGCGCAGCTGTGGCCCCAGATTCTGAGAGAGTAAGTGGTTTGTGTGCAAAGACACAAGGCAATAGGTGACTTTAAAATCTCCAGCCTGAGAAAGTCCCTCTCCAAATCTGCCCTGAGTGCTTCTTGCTGTTAAAACCACAGATCTCTCCCTTCAGGAACCAGAAGATAGCATGGAGCAGCAGACGTCACTTGCAGGCCATTGGAGCACCCATTGGCTGGGGGGGCGGGGGGTACCCAGGGATTGTTGCTACCCCAGGGCTGGGCTCCCTACTGAGCTGCCTCTGGAGGTGAGGGTGGCCAGGCTGTCAGGGAAGGGGCATATCTCCTCCCCCCAACACTGGAGCCCTCAGATGGGATCCCCAACTTCTCTTCCTCTTCCTCTTTGCTGGGGAGTCAGACCAACGCCTAGCTGACCTTTAGCTGGGGGTCTTCGGCTGTAAATGGCTCAGGGAAAGATTGTTCGTATGACTCCTTGGGGGACTCGAACTAGCAGAGATGTGTATCCCTTGAGCTAGCAGTGCAGCTCCCTGAGGACTAGGGGTTGTTGTGTGCCACTGAGTCAGAACTGACTCTTAATTGACCCTCCACTGGGTTTTCAGAGTCTGTTAGTTGCATGGGAGGAAATTCCCCTTCTATCCCCTGTGGAGCACCTAGTGGATTCAGACTGCCAGCTTTGGGGATTATAGCGCAGCTTCTTACCACTAGGCCACTGGTATTAAACCTTTCAAGGTCAAAGCAGATACCGTTCTTGACCTGGTAGCCTCTCCTGTCTAAGGGCTGTGGTTGGTGAACCACAAGCTTCCTCCCTCCTTCTAGAGCAAATCCCCCCACAGTCTGAACTTCTGACAAAGCCCCACAGGACCCTAGGCAGGGGCTGGAGCAGGAGCCCTGAGGCAATGGGGAGCCCTGGAAGGCTCTAGAGTGGGAGCAGAGCTGTGGAAGCAGGTTTTCAGTATTCGACAAATCACCCAGAAAGGACTCTGGTCTCCAGCCTGATTGGCAGGTGGGCCCAGGAAGGGGGAAGGTGGGTGGGGTTGGGACTAGCAGCCTCTGCTCGCATACCCTCTGTGACAGGGGGCTCATCATTCTTCCTCAGAAGTCTCCAGCTCAGAATCCTTCTTGAGAGAAACTCAGTGATCTCCCAAGGGCCCACACTGAGTCCCAGACCCCTGGAACTGCGATCATGGTTGGGCTGGCCGGTAGGCTGTGAGCCCAGGGTGTCATGGGTCCTGTACATCTGGCATTGTTCCTAAGACACCTGCCCCAGGAGGGTTCTGGCTGCGGCTGCCTGAGCCCTTCATGTGCCACTCTGAGTGGACCACTTCCCCAGTGACCCAGCTCTGGGGTTAGCGGGCCCCTTCCCTCTTCTGAGCTTCTCAGCACAGGAGCAGGTGGAAGACAGGTGAGGCTCAGGGGAGCACCAGCAGGAGGTGCTCAAGGCTGGGGATGGGGGCTCAGAGAGAGGCCACCTTGTCCAAGGTCACACAGCGGTTAGCATGTCCTGGTCACAAGGCAGGTGGTGACCATGCTTCCAGGCTGCTGTTTCTATCTCCCCAGGAGATAGTGCCAGCTATTTATAGGGAGCTAGGTGAGTGACGGGCACTGGGGTGGGTGCCCACCTCGGCAGCAGGGTGGCTGCAAGACAAGGGAGCCACCACCACCAGAGCGCCCAGGGGGCCCCACCTGTGGGCCTGCGTATACAGGGGGACAGGCAGGACCTGAGTAGTCACAGAGCCTTGTCCAGACGCTCTGACGCACCAAGGTACGACAGGCATTGCTGAGTGGGAAGAGCCTGGAGGACTTCCTGGAAGAAGTGGCATTTGGTCAGTGGAGAAATGATCTGGCAGTCTGCTCCTGTAAACCCCCCACCACGTCCTTGACTGTCACATGGAGTGTCTGTGAGCTGGAATTGACTCCAGGGTACACATCCCCCCATGGGGAGGGGGCAACGTCAGTGAGGCAGCCCTGAGGCGCTGTCCTCCATCCTGGGGAGTACCCGGAGGTCACTTTTCACTGTGCCAGTGACTCCCCTGCTCTGAAGGGCTCCGTTATTCCAGTGGGATGTTGACACCCGCCCTGTTCTCCAGCGTGAGGGAGTGGGGTGTGGGACACAGGCGGAAGGTTGGCTCAGTCCTTCGCTGCTACAGCAACACCACAGAACTGGTGTCCTCATGCCCTGTATACGTGTCTGCCTGCTGGCGGCTGGGGCTCACTGGGGCTGCTTTGTCCACCTGTCTGGGACTGCTGGGGCAATGGGAGGGTGGCCTTGTCCATCTGTCTTTTCTCTCCAGTTCATGGCACCTGCAGGCAACAGAGCAGAGCCGGCTCCCTAAGCTCCAAGGCCGAGATCTTACAGGACAGGCCGCCATAGCTTTTGTCCTTTGGGGCTGCTCTGCAGTTTGAATGGGCGGTCTTTCCACTGGACACTGGCTTCTTGCAGCCACAGGCTTCAACCTCAAACTCCCTGCCTCGCAGCCATCACATCAGAACACACAGCTGACCCTCCCTAGCTCCCCAAGGCTGTGAGTCCCCTGAGGGGAGCATGCCCAGCTTCGGCCCTCAGAGCAGCGGGCAGATTTGAACAGCTTGACTTTGGATTGGTAGCACAAAGCCACTGGGCCACCAGAGCTCTCAGTGACTAAGGATTTGTTCTTGTCACATACTGTCAAATTGAGACTGACTCATACCTTCATTGGTTTCTGGGCCTTAAGTCACATGGAAGCGGGCTGTTCACCACTGGTCATTCGAATAGGCACAGAGACCCCACCTGGGGTTAGCAGTGTGATGCCATCCAGCCTGGGCCCCCAGAGCACCCTCATCCACAGGTGGACACTAGGATCCCAGAGCATACGGGGTGGGAGAGACACAGCTGGATCCCTCAGTGCTGGGGAAACGTGAGAAACAAAGCCTGGAGGTGTGCCCTGCCTCAGTCCCCTAAAGGGCCTTTCCAGGAGGGTTTGCCCACAGAGGCCGCAGAGGAAGACTGTGGAGTCAGACCCCTGAGTCAGGAGGTGACAAGCAGAGACTTCTCACGGAGAAATCCCAGGCTCGAGGGCACCAGCCTGAAATGACCCCCAGAGTGGCCTGGGAGGGACTCGTGTGACCACCTTCTCTCCTGCCAACCTCCCAGCTCCTTCCTGACTGCCCAATGCACCTCCAGAAAATGAGAAATCACAGAGCCTGGGCCAGGGGACATCTAGTCTCCAAAGGACTGGGTGAGGAGGGTGCAGAGGGGCTGGACAGGCCAGCAGGGGTGCCCCTAGGGGTGAGAGTGAGGCAGTGGGCAGGTCCAATGCAGTGCCAGGTGCAGGGATGGGGAGAAGGCTGGGGGGCTTCCTGGAGGAGGTCCTCATTCACCGTCCTCAGGGATAAAAAGGAGCTAGGCGAGACAGTGAGGGGGAGAAAGGAAGGGGCTTTCACAAAGAGGCTGGATGAAGCCAAGTGCAGCTCTGTCCCCTCCCCCAGCCAGAGGGGAGCAGAGACAGGGATAGGCTGGCTGGAGGCAGGCGGAGGTCAGAGACTGGACAGGCTGGCTGGCCTGAACAGGACTCTGGTGGCCGGTCTTACAAGATACAGAAATTAGA